GAATAAAATAGTCTTTTATAAAAGAAACCAGCCTAACAAATAAAACATTTGTTCTGTGCAAAAGACAGACATTTGCTACTTGGTCTGGAGAGTGTGGGTTGTCAGTTTAATTTAAAAAATACTGTTGGCACAACCCATGACTGTATGACTCACGTTTTTATTTACTTTTGGTTTTTAGCTGCTAGACTTGGGCCAACATTCACAAAATCATGATTAAATCCATTTATAATTTCATTCTGATCATGAATTTCACCATCCTTTACAAAATATTGCGAAATATCTGATTTTACTTCAGGATTTTTCAAAATTCTGTTCATTACTCACCATGTATAGTATAGTAACCATGTAAAGTATAAGAAACCTGCATTAATTTAAATCTAAATAAATGTTTTTATTTTTCTTTTCTCTCAGGGACGAGGAGTTTTCAGTCAGTTCTGTTCTGGACTCAGACGTTATCCATGCCAGTCGTAAAGACATTCCCTGTATATTCAGAGTGAGTCGTCTTYAAGACTTCTGATGCTTTTTTCTTAAAATGAGAACATACTGGAACAGAGTTCCATCAGAACTCTGTGGAACTCTCAGTACTGTGTTCTGTCCTCAGGTGACTGCGTCCCAGCTCTCCCCCTCCAGCAGCCATAAGACCTCCATCCTGATCCTGGCTGACAGCAATCAGGAGAGGAACAAGTGGGTGGGCCTCCTCAACGAGCTGCATCGCATCCTCAAGAAGAACAAGCTAAAGGAGCGCTTCGTTTACGTCCCTAAGGAGGCCTACGACAGCACATTGCCCCTCATCAAGACCACCCAGTCTGCTGGGATCATAGGTGAGAACTAAAAACCATAGGAGCTCCAACAAGAAGAAGATTCARTCACAGGCTAATATTCTATTCTGACATTTTTGCTAATGAGTTTAGAGAGGTAGTTACTGGGCTTTTGATTGAGTTTAATGTTAGTCTTCCTCGCTGTGATTGGCCTTTCTACTCCTTTTTCTCCCTCAGATCATGAACGTGTCGTCCTGGGCAATGAGGAAGGCCTTTTTGTCATTCATGTAACCAAAGATGGTAAGATCCACCAGATGATTTTTATTTGTTAATTTTTTTATTTTTATTCCACGGGTTTAGTGAAAATTCTAGAAGTAAACTCAAATCAAAATTTTCTCTTTTTTTCCCCCCCTCTCCTTCTTGTCTCCTTTCCTTCCTCTGCTCACTCCTACACGCTCCATCCATCTTCAGAAATAATCCGTGTGGGAGACAACAAGAAGGTCTACCAGATCGACCTGATYCCCCAGGAGCAGCTGCTGGCTGTCATCTCAGGCAGAAACCGCCATGTGCGCCTCATCCCCACACAGGCTCTGGATGGTCGAGAGGCAGACTCCAACAAGCTGGCTGAAACCAAAAACTGTCAGACCATCGTCTCGGGCCCAGTCCGAAACGGCGCCCTCACCTGCCTCTGTGTGGCCATGAAAAGTAAAATCATCTGTTACGAGGTGAGAAAAATACCATCCATGGATTTTCCAGTTGACCTCAGCTGCTCCAAGACAAGATATCTTTCATCTTCTTGGCACACAAAGATCTACCTGTAGCTATGGACACATCCATATTAAAGGAATAATTCAGATAATTTGAAATGGGGTTCTGTGGTAAGGTAATGAACACTTAATATCTCACTTTGAATAACATTTGTTTGGAGAAATATAGTTTAATTCCAACATGAACGAWGAAACAGTGGATTGTTGTCATCTTAAAACGGTTTCTATCTCCAGAATTTGACACCAATAATGCAAACACTGTACCATAAACCTTTGCATCATCATGAATTTGACATCTCACGTGTATTTGTAAGGAATTCTGTCAGTGCCTTCCTGCAAGAATTTTAAATTTCCACTTGAGAACTTGTGGACTACAAACCTGACAGACAGCAGACATTATTACTATTATGTAAGTGGGCAGCTTAACAGCTCAGTGGTTAGTACTGTGCCTCACAGCAAGAAGGTCCTGGGTTCAATACCCGGTTCGAACCTGGATTTTTCTGTGTGGAGTTTGCATGTTCTYYTTGTGCTTGCATGGATTTTCTCCAGATACTCCGGTTTCCTCCACAGCACAAAAATGTGTACAATAGGTTGCCTTCAGGCTCAGGCCGCCTTTGCAAAAGAGATCTGCAATGTCAATGGACTTGCCTTGTGAAATAATTGTAAATTAATTTGTTCGGACTGAACCCACCATGATTTTACCCTTTTAAAACAACTAAAGTTTTTAAAATCTTGCAGCAATTCAAAAGCTGTTATTTATATCTTTATACTGCCAGCAGTTTTGCGTTGCACAGTCATGTCTCCAGAAATATGAAACTCTTGCTGGACGTGTCTCAGGTTGCATATGAAGTGTTACAGCTAGCTGCTGCAGCTGCTTTTAAGAYGACAGCAACCTTTTTTTCATTAGCTTGATGTCCTGCCAGACCTCCCCTTAATCTGCACTACTCTGGAAAAATTTTTACACAGAAATTTGTAAATTTAGTACTCGTTCTGACAAAAATAAAGAGAGACCCAGAAACATTTGTAAAATCAGCTCTATATTTGTTTGGTTGGTGTGTTTGGGCATTGTTTTTAAAAAGCTGCACTTCTCTCATCCACACAGATCCATAACAAACTGAGTTTTTGAAAAATCTCAGTTTTCTGGATTAGTGTAGATGGAGCCTTAAACTCCTATTTTACTAACTGAAGCTCATTCAAAGGGCTTTCTGCAACATGTAAGATATTAACTCTTAACATTGTTTCCACAAAACCCCACTTCGAAATATTTAAAATGTTCCTTTACTGTTGGAGGAGGTTAAAGTTCAACCAAAAGACTCTAAAYGACTTCACTTTCAGAGATTCCTCCTACTAAAATGTTGCCCTATGGCTGTTTGTGAGGCTGAAACCAACTAGTGCTGTACCAAACGATTATTTTCTAATCGATTAATCTAACGATTATTTTTTTTC